ATGTTTGTTGGTTTTCGTGACATATGATGACCTGACAGCTAAAGAAACTAAGACAAATACGATGTTCTACATGCAGCTAACGGAGATCAAAATTTCGGGGGCCCCTTGAGGGGAAATCATAACCCCTCATAATCATAAGATTTTCGAATAAGCAGTCTTGATCTAGATACCTTGAAATATCCTTAATTTCTCATTTTGATGATGTCTCCAATTCAGAAACACTGGTATCGTTTTTCAACGCAAATTTATCCTATAATCTTGTGCATCAGTTTTAATGCAACAGATAATATATATACAGGTGTGATAAAAGTGAGCCTGAACTGACAAACTGTGAACACTCAACAGTCGAACGATTTAATGAATTAGCTAGGTGAACAAAATTGATCGCATCAAGGTATTTTAAAATATATAGATAAAGGTTATATGGATTAATTATCGACTCTCTTTATCTAAAAGTGTCAATATTATCAATTATAGAATGTAAAGTTATAAGGCATGGACAATGTATATATTTTCCATATACATTCTACACAGACAAAACCAGGATGACAGACACGAGTGCACAACCAAAAGTGTTTTCTACACCCATTACCAAGGAATTCATGGCAGCAGAACTCATGGTTTCAGAAATTTCTTCAGTGAAGTCTGATGAGGGGTAAATTTATACATGTAGACATATACATGTGTGCATAAAAGTCTGTCATAAAATCAAAATTATTTCTTGTCCTAATTTTGATTCTTCTACTGTTGACTTTTATTGACCAGGAATAAGAAAAGGTCTATTAATTAACATCACAATAGTTTCAAACTAATTAAAGTAGTAAGTTTAATGCATAAAGTGAAGTATATGTATTTGAATATATTTTCATTTATGATTTGGCAATATCTAATTCTTTTGTGCATACAAATGTTCATGGGTAGCCTTTGGTAACAGTATATTATATATATAATTATTTTGTATTGTATAATATTTATCGTACATGTACAATGAACTTATAATTTTGCAAGCGAAAAACAACAGAATTCTTATCACTAACAATTCATTCTATACAGTATAATCAGCAGCGTGTAAGGGCACTCTCAGACCATGTACAATTCTGATCAGTCTGGAGATCACTTTACCTTGCATTTTATGAATTCAAAGTGAAAGCATCTTCGTCTGAGGCATCTGGTGTTGGAGAACTTGATTCTGGAAAGGAAATGGTTGACCATCCCAGCATTTCCTTGTAAGTACAGTATATCACATTATGGATATAAGCAAACTTACTTGTGCATTCTAGATCTGCATGTATTAAGAAAAATATTCTGGCTTGCTACAATATTTAGGGCGCTGTGTAACCAAATGGTTCAGGCATACTACCATTAATTGCTATAACTTTCACCTCTGGGTCACATGTTCGAGGCTTACGTGAAGCAGTTGCCAGGTAATATTGACTACAAGTTGTTGGTTTTCTCCAGGTACTCTGGTTTCCACCTTATATGACCCTTGCTGTCCATAGGACGTAAAACAACAAAAATAATAAGTAAATAAATAAATGCTCACAACATCTAAAACTTCACATTCTTTAATTACTCAGACTTTTAGACTATCGATAAGCAGTAAAGCAACAATGGAATAAAACCTTAACCTGAGTTTGGAATTATGTAAAATCTTAAAGCCATGAGTATCAATGTTTTAACATTTGCGCATGTTTATTTTGTAACAGAGGAAAGAGAGTACCTGTCAGAAAACAGATGTCAACATCTTTCATGGATCCTTTCAAGTAAGATTACTGTATTCTCGCATTAAATTGTATGCAACGCCTTAGCTTTTCTCTTCATTTTAACAGTTGATTTACTAGTTATCAGTTATATTTAAAATGTAGGAGGTTTTAAAGAATCACACCATGTCTTTATCTTTTCTTTTTTCTTTTATTTTATAATTTTAAGAGCTATTGAAAAGTACACAATATGAAAAATTAATTTTTTCTCCACTGGCACGAAGGGCAAACATTGTCTGTCTGTCCATCCCTCCATCGTCTTGCGTCCGTCAACTTTTCCTTTAAAAAACTTGTGAAATAACGATAGGCCTAGAGTTACCATATTTTGCTGGAAGGTTCTTTGGATGAAGCCTAACAAAGGTTTCCAAAAGAAATGACCTTGACCTACATACAAGGTTAAAAGTGTCAAATGTGTTAAAACCTGAAAAACAACTTATTCTAAAATACTGGAAGGTCTAGAATGATCATAATTGATCAGTATGTTCCCCTGATGGTGCATAACAAAATTTAAAAAGACTAACCTTGTTTTTACTTCTTGAATATATATTCTGGGCCCCTTGTTGTTATATTAAGTAATATAATTAAGTTATATTTAGTTTTGTTTTCTATTTGTCTTTTACATGGTCATCTCCTTTGCACCACGAGAGATAAACACTAGAGTTTGCATACATCCTTCAATATAAAATCCATTTAATTGACACCAGTGTCAATTACAAAGTTTTTCCTAAATGCATATTTTTTCATGAAAGTCTTCCTGTCATTTGTAACAAGTGAATTTATACATCAACCATTTTACAGAGGGGGAGAAATTGAAGAACTGGAGGACAGAGCAGGGGCAGACATTGTATTTGGGGAGGAAGATGATGATGACGATGAAAGTGAGAGTGATGATGATATTGATAAGAAAGTCATTGGTCCAGGAATCTCCAAAATGTCAACTGCAGATGATGTGGGAACCTTATTGGATGACAGATGTACCTTGGTTTTTCATCCATCAACTAAAACACCTTGCAAACTTGAATGACTGTAACACGAGACATGGTAAATACAACAATTTCTAGATTAATCCGTTAAGTGACATACCTCCACCGTTCCTGTAAGTGAGGTACGGTAGTTTCCATACATCAGGAAGACCAAACGAATATCCTACTAAGGTTACAAAAAAATCCAGATTCGATGTCCATCTAATTGGGACAGCTCCTGCAACCTCCATTGCTCTGTGTTGGCTATGATGTATTAACAATTTTGCGAACTCTGAATGCTTTATCGATTTTTGTTTATATTGACAGCTGGACCTCATATAAACCACTTGTTCAGATTCATATCACTTAATTATTACTAAGACAGCTTTTGTCTTTGAAATTAGATATTTCAAAGCACTTGAATCACTGTTTAATTCTACCGGTAACCGCGTGTAAAAAATGAAACTAGATGGTTGCATGGAATGTACATGTATTCTTGAACTTTTAGACTAAGAAGATTTTCAAACATTTGCCTCGAGACTTTAGTGTTTTGGTGTTGGGCTCTCAAATATTGAGAACGTACATCTGTAGAAGGGCCGACTTTTAGTCATATATTGTTTGTTTTGTCTTCCTAATTATTCATTCGTATTTATTAGTTTCCGGTTATAGCTGTATGTCGTCTTAGAGTATAGTCTAGTATCGTCTGCTAGTATCGTATCGTGTGGTCAGTGGTCAGTTTAGTCTTTGTCTTACGTCATAGTCTTATGTCTTATTTTATTGGCTCGTCGATTTCGCGGTAGTTTTTATGTTCCGGTCATTGTTTCATTGTGTGAGCGGCCGGCAAAGGACGAGCATCGTAAGTTTAATCTTTATTATCCTGTACTCCCCTACTGGTGGTATTAAATTATTATATTTATAAAGAGTAAGATTTATATTACTTTGATGTCAAATAGTTTCATTGTTATGTATTGGTACAAAACTACGATAAACCAGTAATGAATTCAAATGACATATTATTTGAATCTGTTAAAATCTATTTTTCGATATATGTACATTATACTATTACATAATGATACAGTTAATTTAGTCCGGATTTCTAGTTTCTCTGTTTGTAACTTTACAGACTTGCCCTACCATCCATAGTGGTCGCAATACATGTATGTAAAATAATTGACAAGGTTCCTACAAACAAACAAACATACACGGGTAATTAATTATATATGTATTCCACTAAGTATGTAGTAACTTATAGTATTCAGGTTTATTTATAATACTTACTTCATATTGTAAATAATAAACTAGGAACGCATTGTTCATAGAAATATCTTATATTAATATTATTCGCTATATCTGTAATGGAATTATGTAACAACAGTTTAATTTAATTCAATATAACTCAATACTGTACTAGTGTTGCAAGTATACAGTTAAATGATCTATTTGTCAAAGTGATATATGTATATTTTGCGTGTGTGATATTTGTTATATGGTTAATGTTATTTGTGTATTGTCATTGCAGAGTTCGTCTTGTACGTACACCTGTCTATGTTGGAATAAACAGACCGAATGGTCCACCTGAACTTACGCAGGCGTCACGTAATATATATGCATGAAAATCTGACCCTGTAACACATCAAGCTTGCAAACAATTCACATCACTTGAACATGTATCAACATCGTCAGGTCGTTCGCCAAGTGTGGTTCAAACAGCATACAAACAAAAAATGGCATGTCATAATTCTGTAACAACATCGCAACCTGCACATTGAATCATGACAAAGTATGTACCTGATATCTGATAACATATAAAGTACTTTCCAAGAAGTGTTTACAAATTATCATTACCCCTTACACATTTAAAATCACTTTGTGTAGAAAATTAAAATTTAGACGTTACACATATGTTTACGAAATGAATTATTTAAAACTGTTAATCACTTTTCTTTCATCTTAAATCATGCAGGTGCGAGAAGATCTGTTTCCTTATATCGTAAAACGCTATACACTAATAATATATAATGATTAACGAACGTGATTTGAAATATGTAAATTATGAAAATAATGTAAATCATAAATCTATAAATTTACATTAATTTCTTTCAGAAAAATTATATCTTTGGTTTCTTTTCGAAAACGCAAAATCACAACTAGATGTATAAAAGTTATATCCTTGATCTAGCAGTCACAAGAATTTGAAGCATTTGCGACTGTCGGTAGTTAAAAGCTGCGACAAATAACTTAAAAAAACTTAAATCCCATCAAAATTATAGAAATTGTTTCAGACGTAAGTGTGAATCAGATACACCATGAAAGTCATATTGATAATAAGAGAAGACATTATGACAAACAAAAGAGATGCCTTATCAAATGCATGGCCTACTGTTTTCCAAGTCATGTCAACCTCCAGGTCATTGTCGGTTTTAGGTGTTGTTAACTCTCTTTCATTTTTTAATTGTTTCTGCTGATCAGCTGGTGATTTCCTGCGCGAAACATCTTTCTTGTTATTTCTATCACTTGACACAGGTTCAACGTTAATTTCTACCGGTTCCACTATAGCAGCTTGCGATTTCCTTTTTAGCCATTTGAATTGCATAACATTAACAAAGGTTACATAATTTTGTGGTATTTTCTCCTCCTCTGACATGTAGACCTTGATCGATAGGATAGTAAGTAGCATGATTAAGACACTCATGGCCATCTGTGTGAGTAGAAGGTAAGACAGCACGGATATTTGGGGTTGGGACGCTTCCGGTAGAGCATCTGTCACGATCGTAAGATACACTGCTATAGATAGTAGATTGGTGATTGAGAACCCTACTCGTTCCCCAGAATCGACCGGAAGTATAAATACGAAGGAGTTTATAGCCGTCATCAGACACAACGGTAAAATCATGTTTACTACGTAAAACACATACCGCCTTTTGAACGAGACTTGCATTTCGACAGCCTCAAACATATCAGAAATAACTTTCAATCCAGTCGTGGATAATTCCCATTTCGAATTTGGACTAAACAATGTCACATCAAGCTCTGAATTCAAAGCAGTGAAAGAAACTTCCGACGGAGTAATGAACCAGGGCGTAAATTGTACTTTACATACCTGACTGTCAAAAGGATAATACTTCACGTCGGCATCACAGGAAACATCAAAGACGTCCGCCGGCATCCAGGTGGCGTCACCGGTGTACGTATACCGGATGTAGAAGTCATCGGTGCCGAGAAATTTCAAACTGCTGTATGTATTTGAAAGCATCATATTTGGTTTCCACACCTCTTTCTGTGACAGGAGCGTAGAAGTAAGACCACCGTAAGATGCTGGTGTCCATGTTAGCCGGTTGTCCACCCAGGTAATCGTGAAAAATCCTGTGATTGAAAATTTTCCTTCAGTTTCGTCGAAACCTTGAATTGTCATTAGGCTAAATCTAATATTTACACTTAGCGGGACAGAGTAATCTGTTCCAGGTCGGACATGTTTCTGGTAACTTGTCATTAGAGCGGTGTAGAGGTTCGTTCCCTCTGTTGACGACTGGGACATTGACGAAGGAATCAATGCCACTAAAGCTAGTATGATAAGCATTTCCTAAAGAAGACTGACTTCCAAACTGGAGTGTAATAACTCAGAGAATCGAAATATCTTGTTAGGAATCGTCTTATGAATGGTAGCATATGACGCTGGATATAATCCGTAAGTATTGAATATTGAAAGAACAATGAACAAACTGCCGACTTCAAAGTAACCAAATATTGTGTCAAACTTTGTCATGTGAATGCTTATATATGTGGCACTGAATGTAATTCGTATTCAGTGTCACACAATAGATGTGGTATCGGCAGTCATGGCGTACATTGAGATCTTTTGTAAGTGCTAATGGGTTATTGACTGGTAGTCACGCTTATTAAAAAGAACACGTCTATTGTATCAGGAAACATATCATCACGTGCTACATTAAAGTAATAAGATTTCTGATAATGTATACATATATATTGTTGATTAAATCAAAAGTACATTATATTTTAACTGATACCTGCTATTGTTTTGCAATTATCAATGAAGTTCTCCCCGTCGACACATTTTGTCTACAGAACAGAGGTGATTCCTTTTTTTTTTTTTTTTTTTGAAGATACCGACGGTTTTTTTTTTTTTTGTTTACATGTGCGATCATTAATCGTGCCTTGTTGGATGTCGTTGTGTAGCAAATGTCCTTTTGTTCTAGTCCACGCATTGGCCGGCTTCACCAGTTAATTTCTCCATTGTGTTAGTAGCCTATTGTAACTTCGATCACGACTTTTTAAAACCAGAACTCATGTTACCAGGGACAAATCATCCTTAAAAGAAACTAATTGTTCAACTTGTGGGGTATCTAATACATCACAGTTGTATCACAGATACTGCCGGGGGATTGAAGAGTTAAAGAAGATATATTTACAGTTCTGTTGTGTAGTCTCTATTGGGTCATACCAATACATTTTATCTTTACATTTCGGTTAACGTCAAGACTGACAATCTTTCCGGACAAAATAGAATCAGCTCTTTTGCTAGTCCATCGATTGTCGGGATTCCCCCTTAAGTGAGTATAATGTCTAACGAATGACAAATATTACTACTTCTTTCAAGTAGCGTAAATAGAAAAATAACAGCCAAAATGTAAGTATATATTAATGTGTGTGTGTGTGTGTGTGTGTGTGTGTGTGTGTGTGTGTGTGTGTGTGTGTGTGTGTGTGTGTGTGTGTGTGTGTGAAGGTATGTATAGATGTGTACATCATCTGTACATACTTTTATATGTGTAACGATGTTTATTAGTAATATAATGTGAAATACATATATATTATAATTGTCTGTAGAAAAAAATGAAAAAAAAAACCCACAAAAAAAGAAAAAAGACAAAACAAATACATATCTCCTTAGCGCGAAAATTGATACTGTGTAATTGCAAATATTCCTGAGGTATTTTATTTCTTTATGTTTATGAATTCGCGGATCTAAACGACTCGTAAATAAATATGTTTTTCTTTGGTAAAACGTTCTTCTTAAACAATACGCAAGCCATTAGTAGTGGTTCTCAAAGTACAGAATAGGAGACGCATTTGTATAGTTTTGTATATTTAAGAATACATCACTTAAGTATTGTAACATTTGAATTTTAGCCCTAATACATACTAACTCACTGACTAACAGACACCGACTACACGGTGAATCATGAATTATTCTAACAACAACTGATCGTGCCTTTTTAATCCCTACACCAACGATTATAGAGATTAATAAATGAATGCCAGTTAGGGGGAATCGCCTGATCATACATCTTATAAAGAGAACAAATTACAATAACGTGATATACGTCAATGTGTCTATTACGGAGAAATTAACAATGGCTTCCTTACGGTATCCGATACCAGATCATACAATGGTTGTGTGACGCCGCGTTATACATGACCTTATTATCACCTATAGCAAGGTCTGTTATCGTCGTCGGTTGGAGTAATTAATAACAATTAACAATTAGCGTGACTTAATCTTTAATCGCAAGAACCAGAAACGATAGCCCCATGTCGTTCCTGTAGATAACTTGGTAATGCCCACACGAATCCGTTCACCAGTACATTTTTTCAGGGCCATATATACATATGTGTGTATGTATGTTTTCCCATTTTTGGGACTAGCGAATATTCATTGAGAAAAATGATCCATAGGTATTTTAGAGAACATATGCTATATATATATAATTCAACATTGTATAACTACCCGTAATAGTTTTTCTTTACGGGAAACACAATATTAAAATATTCTGTTCGCCGCCATAACAGAAAAAAATATTCACCGTAATAACCGGAAAGATTTATACATGTTTCATTGAATTCAAACCCCAATATAGCAAAAAACATACACTGTGCTATTTGTACCTGTTTAGGCGAAATTTGTCTCGGGCATACAACCGAATTTACTTTTTCTATACGACATCAAAAATACACTTTTATTATTTAAGCATTGAACCTCTTTCAGTTGGCATTCATGGTCATATGAATCAAGTGAATTCGAATGTTTAGTGGAAAATTTGGACGCGACCGACGGAATACTTCGAATTAAACGAGCTCTTTGAGTTATACAAGTTCGAGAAAAGTTGATCGACTATGTCTATATATTCACATTATTAGTTATAAGATAATTGCGCCATTTGGTCTTTTTTCATAGAAATTATTACAAACCTCGCAATGCTGACAGCATGTTTCATGTTCAAAAGCCCAAACTACGTAGATTAATACATGTAAGTTACATTTCTATATGATTTCAAAGTCAATTCCTAACTTATATGTAAGATATTTGATTGATCGTGATGTTCTGTAAGTCGCATTTCACTTTAATAATAAGCATTTGTTCCTTCATGTGATAGTAAACATGTATGTATGTTATCGATAGATAAATATTGAGACTTATTTTACAATAAGTGTCACGTGATTAGCAAAATGTTTGCTTTACATTGATGATGAAAGCATGAACATCACAACATTGTCAGTTCAGAAATCGGTGACTTCAATTTTCAATCAACAAAGAACAGACAAAAGAAATTAAGGCGGAGTCATTCAAAACTTTTGTATTTTCGTGCTGAATATAATCATGTAAAACATATAAAATGTATATATGAAAAGCAATCAGACACCATTAGACGCACGTGTGTAAACATAGGTAATATTACATTTACATGTATTTAGCCTTCACATCGCACCTTATCATAATTGTCTCCATACTTAGTTGCACAGTTTTATCTAGTAGAAGGGAGGTAACAATGTCATAACCTATCGACAGTGTCGTTATTGGATTAAGGGAGGTAACCCATCTTCTATCTAAATGAGTCAGAGACGTATATATCACATATGATATATACGTCTCTGAAATGAGTTGGTCATTCAAGCGCTTACTAAATATCCTTTATATACAGGTGCTGTATCAGAATAATAATATAAGATATACGAAGTTTCAACAAGATTGCAAATCTCTGGATTTTATCGATAAAAAATGGAAAAATAATAAATAAGTATGTGTCAAGTATGTACATGTATATTTATACGCCATCAATGAAATAAGGAAACAAAGGCTTGATGTTTACTGAATGTTTAATGTTTATTCAATGCTAAATGTTTACTGAATGTCTAATGTTTATTCAATGCTTGATGTTTAAAACCTCAAACTACATTAATTGGCTGATTACAATTGTCCATAATTTGCAATCGATCAACATGTGAACACAATCAAAATAGACATAGATACACTCTTCTGTTGTATCGACGAGATCCGCTGTATATGTCCAAATAAGTAATGTCACGTTCTCAAAATGAGAAATGAGAAGGTAAACAACAACAGAACAGTCGTACATGTTGATCGATCATGATGTCTTGAAGTTCACATCTATCTTAAATATAAACACTTGCTCTTTCATATGATAATATCAATATGTAAAAGGTGATTAGTAGATTCGTTAACTGAGCGATACCACAGAAAACATGAGCAATTGCAAATTTTTACAAAAAATGACCGAAATTGGAAATCTCTATTTCATATTTACTCAAATACTAAATAATGCACATCAATTTTGAAGAGTTAAAAAAAAACTCTTTTGCAAAATTGTTTAATGTAAATCTTCCTACATGTACTTTATACAGCTTGAGCTTGAGTTATTCAAAACTTGGCTACGTTTTTATTTTTACGCTGAAATATGATCAGGGCAGTATTTATCATAATGCATATAGGAACTGCAAAGACACGGCATTAGAATACACGCTTGTACACACAGGTTATGTCACATTTGCATGTACTTTATATCAGACCTTGCCCGTTCTGTTTTATCTAGCATAACTATCGGAAGGTAGTCTACCCCAAAGCGTAATGAAATAACAAGAACTCTATAATTATTCTATATGAGAACCTGTCTTGGTAGATCAGATTTACAGTTTATAATACCAGGTAGTCATGTTTCCGCAGACTGAGTTGTCTCCCCCACTTCCACTCGCGGAATAGCGCAACCTGATCAAAAGATGATAAAATATTAGAGATTCAGGAGAAGAGATGTAAACAAAGAAAACGACATGACACTCGATATGAATTGGATGAATATTCCACTATAAAATCATGTATTTTCGTAAGGCTTAATTTTCATGTTTTGTTTTCTTCGTCCAAGAAGGCTACTATTATTAAACAGTCAGTTGAAATTTCATCGATTCATTTATTCGCGGACTTCCGCATTCGTTAAAAACAACCACGAAAACAAGAAAATATATTCCTAACGAAAATAAATAATTTTACATACTTTTATGATAAAGATGACGTTTGTCAGCATTTTCCATAACATATATAAGCTAAATCATTTTCTTAGTATTACCGTTACTTGCTAGTTCATACCACAATATCAGTTTTCTTTTAAAAGTAATTAACAACTCTCTCTTTCGTTTCTGCTCCTTTTCGGAGGGGATGGTGCTCGAACTGATAGCCTCCGAACACGTCTTTGCATGTCTCCAAAAATAGGTTGACTTTGACCTTGTCCAGTCACAGATTCGCCTGGTTGGATAATATTCAGGATATCACGGTGTTCAGTAGTGGCTAGTTTTTGTGAGATGCTGGTTACGTGGTCAAGGATTTCTTCCACATTTCTCTGCATTCTGACGAATCCCTGCTCCCTCTCTCCGTCCATTATGTTACGATCACCAACATTTAACTTAAGCACAGACCTTGAGTCTTGTTTCCTCCCTACAAACCAAATACATTTGCTTGTCATAAGTCATTCACTTACTGATTAACATTACATTGTGAAATCTCGATGAAAATCATAAAGCCAAATGATATCGTTAAAAAGTGCGTTATAAAAGTCTACCGATTTTAATAAATGCAGTAAACCGAATTAGCACGCTATCATTATCTAGATAACGAATTGTGTAACTGATATGAGCATTGTTGCTTAATTTCTCTAGATACTTTGTAATACCACTGCATTGTTAATATATACATAAATATACATCTAGTATCATCATGACATTAAAAAACCCTGATATTTGACGTACATACTTTCGAAGGTCATATCATCCAAGTCCTGCAGTAGCTTTTTAAGGCGTTCGGCATTGTTAGTTTCGGGATCTTTTTGTCGCCAAAATAGCAGTCCTCGGAAGCACAAGTTAAGGTCGTTTGGTTCGTCTTCCATCGCATGTTGATCTATATCTAGTAGTCTCTTTAACTCTTCACGGGTGTGTTTATCTACTACAAGAGCAAATACATAACTAAAAAAGATTGAGGATGTTGAAGATTACTGAAGATATGCCCGATTTATGATTAATGTAAACAATACCGTATATAAATAATGGGGAGTTCATCTTGCCTTAATACTTCGCCTTGTTCTCATTGTACTTTTTCTGGAGTCCCCGTGTGAAAGTTTTGTTCATATTATGCCATATATTTGCTGAATCTATTCAAATTGAGTTTGGGTTATGACTTTGTTGACAAGTTGGTATTTTCTTGTTGTTTGTTTGTTTCGTCATCTTATATGAATTGGATGATATCTTAGTGTTTTGATGATAAATATATATATTGCAAACATCCTACCACATTTCGAGGCGACGAACTGTATCGTAGAAAGAGCTTCTTTTGGGGCTTGGTCGCTTGTCGCTTTGTAACTATCAGCTAAAGTACGTTTGCTATCGTCTGACCATTTTTGTATCGCCTTAAGTGCTTTTTCAATTTTGTCAGTAAAGAAATCGTCGTTTGATGACTTTGTCATTTCTAATAGTTCCAATATTGTTTGGAGTTTCCTGTCGCTTTGTTTACTTTTTTGCTGAAGACACACAGTGGAAATGTCGAGAGCATGCTGAAATAAACACGCATTAAGATACTGTTATAAAACAAACTATAATAAGACCAAAAGTTATCAAATGAAATGATGTAATGGTTTATACCATACTTGTGTTCATCCGGCGGAACGTTCTCACGCTTTCAACGCAGGAAGACTTTTTATGTGTGTACTTAGGTGAAAGAGAATAAGTCTGTGTCCTTACTTAATGACCTGTTTAATGTTTGTTTAATAGTGACTGTATACTCGCCTTGAAAATTCGAAATTTGTACTATAATCATTATAAACAGCATATCCCAAATGACTCATGATAAATAGAAATGTGTTTTGCTAAAATCTTAGACATTTTAAAGCTTTTTTCAATAAAGTACAATGTTACCTTCAACGTCGCCAACTCCTTTGAAATGGCAGCATGTTCACAAGTGACTTTCTCGAAATGTCTTTTCATTATTTTGTCCAATTCTTCTTCATTTCCGTTTTCATTTTTTACAATGACGGTGTCGTTTCCTATCACGACACTATCTGCGATAGTTTGGAATTTAACATGTTTAAGAATTTCTTTTATGCTTGTTTTGTATATCTTTTTTTCAGTCTTTATTTTCTCAACTGTCTGCTCCAGTCGATCTAGTTTCTTTTCAACATCCCTGTTACGGTAATACGTTTTCCATGGTTTTGGTCTTTTCTTTTTTAGAGGCTTTGCTGTGTCGTCTACTTTTCCAGATTCGACACTTGGGGCATCATCATCCACCTGCATAGACTCCGTTGCTGGGGTTACCTTTGACGTTGCCATTTGTACTCTACGTAACTCTAAATATACAAAATTTTTCCATATTATCTGCAAATGGAACAGCAGCAGTAACAGAGGGCAAATCATAATGAGGAAATTATACGAATCAGTTAAATGACCTACAAGTTTAACACTTTACAGCTTTTCTTACAGAATCTGACAGAAAATCCATATTCAGATTTACATAACGTTTAAGTAAACAAGTGTCCTTACCTCACGAGTTGAAACCGACCAAAGTAAACAGAGTGTGTAATTTATGTAATGATATTTCGTTTCGTTTATTTGGTGTTACTTTTCTCTGTGCAAATTATAAAAAAAATCTAGAAAGATTTACGTTATTATCAACAATGACTGGTATGAAATATTAATTTTACCCAAATTGTTTTATAATTAAAAACAAAATCATTATCGAGATTTAAAAAGGAGGCAGTTAAACACACACAAACACACATTTTATCTGTAGGCCCATTTAAAACAAACATATCATTAGCATGAACGCATTAAAACACATACAGTCATGATATATATAGAACCCGTAAACTGAACAATATGTTACTTACCTAATACTCATTCCATGGAAAGTACTAGACGATCAACTGTTATATGTGATTATCGCATACTAAAACCTTCATAACTTGTAAACTTCTGACCATAACCTCATATAGTATACACGTTATTGATAATCTTGAAATGGTACCCATTGTTACCGATATCTTATATCTATATATATGTATACATATATCTTATGGTATATTAGTTAAGTGTGATAAATTATCTAATTAGATGAGATACCTGACAGAACCATTATCAGTTGTTTTCTTCACAAAATGTCTTATACAAAATACAATTTTAAAAGCGCTATTCATGCAGGTGTTTTTTCGAACAATTTTGTAATTGTATAGAAATGAATATTATTCTAGCTAGTAAAGAAGATAATTTTACAGAACATTGTGGTAGTTCTGTAAAATTAGCTTTAAAAGCACGCGTTATCTAAACTGAAGATCACGTAGAGTCGATCTTATCTGGAAAATTAAACTACAGCGATCAATAGTTGTCTTCAAACACAATGACGACGCTTTTTTATACGGCTGTCACTGTGTTTAACTAAGGTTTGAATTGCACCTTATTTGCGGAAGTATTGACATTACACGGGTCGTAGTGTTTTGTACACGAGAAAATAAACATGCTTTAGCACGAAAATCATTTTATCATGAAAATATGAATACACTTGTCAAAATCTACTTTCTATCACCGAACGTTTCTAACCGTAAATATACTCAATTTTGTAACTATAGCATACATATCTTCTAAATGATCTTGCAGTTGTTCAAGTCAGAATGTACATATTCCTGTTGTAGTGTGATCTGCCTTGTGTGTAAATTGCATAACATTTTCTATTGATCCGTAGGTACGGGCTACAATCAATGTGTCTTAAAAATCCTGTTCTACTACTTATTATATTAGGGGACTTGGTATAAGGTGGACCTTTAAAGTTAAAAATGATGTTTTGTGTTCTGAATTCAATGTACCTATATGACAGTACAGTGAAACGCCGCTCTTTTAGGGTGGCCTTGAACATGGATGGTTAAAATCAATATCATTATATCCTAATAATACAAATATTGAACTGAGCAAGAACGAGGTCCTCCTTGTCAAATAAGCTCTTATTTTCATTACTTGATCACAAATGGGCAATTATTTATCGGAACAGTATGTATTCTGTCAACATCATAATATATAACAATAATATAAGAATATAATTATCTTGGTACATATATACAAATGTCATTAGAACAATATAAGTTAATGTTTTCCCTATAGCCATAGCAATGCATTTTGAAAGAAATGTTTGCTATCTCACTGTATAATTAGTCGATGTCTACTGTGACTGTTCGTGTATTTTTAATCTTCGTTTGAATACAACCAAATTACTCATTGTCAATTTTAAAGCTTAACACTACTGTAAAACGTTCACTTTTACAATTAAGGTATAAGAGCTGTAAAAAATATATAAAGACATTTAAATTGATATTTAATAGTCAAAACTAAAGCCTGACAATTTGCCAAATATGTAACCAATTACTTTTTATGTTACTTTCCATATTTTTCTTTAAAGATATTTTCCACATCTCAATCTCTTTCTCTGCTCTAATGTGTTCTGAAGCATTAAGTTGCCAAAAGGCAAATAACTCCTACTTAAGAATATATTTTTGTTTTAGTATGTTCTCCTTCTCTCTGCAGTTTGTACTATATCATCATGTGTGTGTACACCTGCTTGTACGGGGTATCATAACTCTAGACCCGGCTAACATTAAAGCATTTTGCACATGCTGTAGATTTAAATACAATGGCTATCAGCTCTAGTGACTTACAGTTGATATAATGTAGCATTACTTCGGTTGTTTCAATTGATATTGATTAATTAATTAATTAATTAATTCTATCCGTAGATGAAGAAAGTTGGCAGATGATATTGAAAATTTAAAAGTATAATCATCGTGATGATGTTAATAATTAGGATTGATTTTATATAAGATATAACTCGTCTCCAAGTTTTAATTTTTCTCGCCAAGACTAGGAAAACTCAATCATAAAAGACACATTTAGTAAAGTCACATATAAAAATTAAAACAAATCTAAGATATTTTGGATCATGTAACTCCGATAATTGATATTTTACAGGCTTCGTTGTCAATACGTAGAAGACAAAATCAAACAAGCAGCCATTCGTTGAGTCATTTTCAATTAATGAATGGACAACGTTTCATGTTATATTGCGTTAGTGACATAAATTAAAAAACAATATTAAATGCACGAATTCACACTGAATAAAAGTCGGATTTTCCTGTAAGAGGTTCCATAAGAGTTTAATTAGCTTGTAAGTCAATATTAGTTTAAGCACCATTTAATTTCATTGAAGTGTGTTACAAGTCTGTCCATGTTTTGTATTTTTTGGATAAATTTATTTTGATCATATTTCACAAAGCCTAGGGAGATTTTTTTCGCTCTAACTTTCGCTTAAGATGAGATAACATGATACGAAGCAGACAGCTTGACATGCCGAATAAAACCATTTTTATACATTTCACAGAAATACATATATGATATATACGATACCTTTTTCTATGTGTGAATTAGATTACTTAAGAAACTCATCCAATGCGTCTTGGCCATGACGTTATGACCGGAAATGTGGAAAAATAAAGTAAATACCAACATGTCATCATAATGATAATCTAAACTCAAATTCAATACAACAAGTTCAAAATATGAACAAAACAAATATTTAGTCAAAGTTTCATGAAAAAGTACTAGGAGAATAAGACTAGGTGTTCCTGAGGAATAAACACATTCAGCTTCATCGATGACATCAGCCATGAAAACTTTTGTGAATCCAAATGAGAACTAGGTGGAGCTATGTATCTTATCTATTCTTTTTGTTATCGAACAGGTTCTACTTACAAGTTTGAAAGGCTTTATGCCATGGACAGTGAAGCGTGTTATCTTAACAATCGATGGTGACTACCTTAACATCCAAACGGTCCTTGTTGGCCATAAATGGAGCGCTCAAAACTGAAAATATATAAAGCATCCACATGTGTCCATCCATCTACATGTGTGATTTAATATTACACTTTAAACATATTGTTGGGTCATTGCTGGATATGATTGTTCTCGAAATAAACAAAACAATCAAAGCTGATCCATTGTTTTCCGTTTTATTGAAATAAATCGATATGAAAGTTAAAACAATATAAATTATTGTCAATAAATAGAGTGATTAATGCGATATTATCGTGTTACAACACTTCACCGCGAACTTTGTACATTGTCATAGTGCCGCCTAGTACATGCAGGGTGTTGGATTTCTCTTTTCTTATCGGTAAATCCACGTCATTATTTTTCTTTGATGCTTGTGCGAGTAACCATTGTTCCTTTTTACCTCGGCTCTCGTGCAACATGACATCTTTACTATGAGCCGAGTAGTATTTTGCATGAGGAAGGTTTCTGTAGTAATACCAGTTTAAACTGTCCATATTATTTAACAATGTTCTGTTACGAATAATATCTTCCAGACAATCTATGGCAGTATTATCCATTTTATAATTGAATTTATTTGCAAAAAGCTGCGGCCTGCTTGTGAGCCAAGTCAAATCTTTTCTACCAAAGACACATACACCTCGAATATACCGACCTTCGCATGAAACTTTATCATTTTCCCAAATAATTGCACGTGACAGGAAATTACCAAAAGTGTGACGTATTTCCATTTCGTAACCTCCAGGTGCCCATGGCAACGTGTTAAGAGTCGCCCAAACGTTTTCTTCTGGTGAGTAAGTGTTGTTTAACCAAGCAATGAATTCTTGTGCAACGTCGTCATTTAGAATGAAATCCACAAAATTTCTAGAGAATGACCCATAAGCACTTCCTTTACTAAGCTGTAGTTTGTATTTAAATGGTTCCTTGTCCTCAGTCGTCTCCACATTACTAGTTCTTGTCAATTTATACTTCTTTTGGAATCTCCATTTTTGCAGCACTGGGTGATTGTATGATTCGATATCATTAGCACCATTTAAAGACTTTAGAATTCTTACAATTTCTAAATTTGTTTTAAGAGGAAATTCTTGTCCCGTAAGGTTTATATAATATTTCCATTTTACTCCGGACTCTGTGCATTTGCGCATGCATTGCATTTCACTTACCACATGCGCGGAACTGGCGTATATGACATTGACGCGGTCCCTGATGACGTGCACATTCGGAAAACATCTGCTGATATTCAGTATGAGGTTATAGACAATGTGATGGGCCTTCCCATCTATATATAAACAATAAACATTATGCGGTCTGTATATAGTCCTGAGTAGCTGTTCTACTTGTTCCGGATCTCTGTGAAGCTTGATTGAGAATGCCAAAGGAAACTCCCTTTCTTCTTTAGCTATTCCGTCAACAGTGTATTTATGTGCAGTTCGAAGCGTGTCGCATTTTTTAACTAATTCTGTGAGTTTACATTCAGGATATTTTCTACTTCCGGTAGGATTAAACCTCAGTGGTTGGATTAGCTTTTTGGCGCCTTTGATGTATATGGAACACGTGCCGTCTAAATTTGGACTCGGCAGGCATTTTGTTGCCAACGGATCACGTGGCAAATCATGATTACAGTACCCAGTTTTCAGTAATGGTGGATCCAAGCGTTCTGAATACATCGGCTTAAATAGCTCTAAAGTTTGCTTCTTGGCATGTCCTTCACTTCCTGGATGAATCCAGAAACTGAAAAATGTTAACATTGAAAACAACTGTACGGCTACAGTAACGATCCAAACACTCCTGATAGGCATGTTGTTACTATTGATACGTCAATTTAAATATGCAATATTCCATGTAACTGTTCCTTTAAAAATCTTCTTTTTAAGTTAAGTACGTCAAATTTCTTAACTGTCATCGTCACTGGTCTCTGCCACTCGTCTCAATAGCTGAGTTTCATTTCATGAATGAGAGTCGTCAGTGCTGAACCTGTGAATATAAATACTCATCAGGGATGTGTATCACTGTCTCGTGATGCTTAGCAAAGGGAAGGGTCCGCCATTTATAAGACATGTATTGTGTTTCTAGGGGCGGAGATTGTCAACTGTCAGTGGTGTCCCTCCCTACGGAACACCGCCGTATATAACAGACAAGGCGATAAAGCAGCTTGCGGGCATGTCACATCACCACAGCAGTCGTTTTTGTGCTGAAAAATAAAATTAATATATAAAAAGTACTACCTATTTTTTCTGTACTTTTACACTTGAAACACGTAAACAAATACCATTACCAAAACAATCATCTCTTTCAGAATTGGGGCGTGTGCGATATGGCTCCGCTCCGTTATTGCCGAAGGACTATTTAGCGTGCCTAATTGTGTTGACCTCATCAGGTCAAATTTCAGGCCTGGTTGAACACATATGCGATTGACGTATTTTGCCCTGAGTGCATTTGTTTGTTACTATATATAACAACGCTATTAAATATACCTGATTTATAACGTTCCCGGACGTATGCAGTATACAATGTACATGGGTACGTCACAGACATCAGTGACTTTGAACAGAAATTTATGAAACAACTCGATCAGAAGGAGAGTTTACTAAGGCACTGGTTTTATAGAATTAATGAAACACTTATTGAATTAAATTATTGTAGAGTTTTGATAGGACAAGAATTGTGATTACTTTTGTAAGATGACCATGGTTATCAGGATCTAAATAATTCGACAGTCATCATACCGATTGCTATTGACTCTAGACTCCTGACGCTATCCTGAACAAAATTGGTTCTTTGGTAAAGCTGTAGCCCCTGAATTAAAGACCCATATATAATGATATATAAGAAGTCGTCTTGTCGCCAAGTTGTCAAGTTGTCGTTTCTAGAATTAATTCCCAAGTACAGTGGTATGTAACATATTATACATGGACTATATAAAAGTTACCGTTTATGTCGAAAAATTTCTATAAATGACGAGATTTACACCTGTCCCTATATCTCAACTATATATATATATGTCGGATTTATCTTAGGCGAGGAATCAGAATGGCGATTTGTAGTGTATATTACTGTCCTCTGTTGACAGTTGGACAACAAACGAGTGGACAGACACACGTATAAAGTATGTACTGGTGTACGTTGAGACAATCAATTTACTATGTCCGGTCGTGTCACTGACCATGTCCGTTCATGCGCGTGTTACTGACCATCACCTAGGCCAATATACACGTTGTTGTATATCTTAAAGAATTATCAATTTGCCTATTATTGATAAGCTTATTTGATATGTTTTACAAAATAAACATAAGTGAATAGCACTTTTTAATACAAATTTAGAATGAGATTCATGAAAGCCAAACAATGAATTAAACTGCATCAAACAGTTTTTAAGTCCTTGGTAAAGCTAAGGGTCTAAATTTTGAAGCTAAGAGAAGTATTTGATAACGAAATATATTTATATACGTCATTATTTTACCATTAACCTGCAGAATTTAAGGTAGACATCCCTAGGTCAGCTGACGAGGAGTTTCGCTAAACAAGTCGGAAATTATATTGTTACAATTATGAAAGTTTTAAAGATTGTGTGTACCTAAACATAGAAACAAAACATTTTAAACAGAGCTTAAGAAACATATGATTCTTTCTTCTTCTACTTCTTTTTCGTCTTTATTATTATAACTACTTTTTCTAATTTTCTAATTACAATAATTATTTTATTTTCAATGTTATCCATATTTGTTTCATTTTTTTTTTCATCCTCGAAAATAACGAAAAATAAAACCCGTCAGTAATAACAACATTGACAGTAACATTTACCTTGCCATCATTTATGCTAAATATTTTACACTTTAAGTTTCCAATAATGATGATCCTTAAGAAATTTTATTATCTGCTTTAAATATATACTGTTTCTTGTATCTCTTCTGTACACCAAGACTTTGATACAAATTTCCATTTTTAATTTTTATTCGACTATTGGTCAATGATCTTCCCTGTGATACGTATATCGATACCTACCTTGAATACGCGACTTATCTCATTAAACGTCGTCCTACGATGGCCCGAACCTAAAGCAGTCCCAGAAAAAATCGTGTTCACCACCAAGATCCTTTTGCTGCCATTTCTGTGAAGTTCGTTGTATTTAGATTTTTACGCTACTGCATTTTCTCCTCTATAAATCTTCAATTCACTTTCCGTTTCCTAAATTATTGTTTTCGGTGTGAGTCTGCTTTAGGTGAGTGCCTCAGCATATAGTTTCCCTGTAATCAAATGAAAATCTCTCTTTGCAGTGTCTTGACGGTAAACATGCGGTTTTGTTCCTCTCGTATACACCTCATCGTCATGTTTCCTTGTTTCGGTCGAGCGGTCACATGATAACTGACCACACATCACAGGGGACATGTTAACTGATATGGCCGAATAGATAGGAAGTGACAGTTACATTGTAATTTACCTGACGACAAGATTAAAGACACAGCTTTCATGTCCCCTTGATGTAGTGTGTTTGTTACTCACTATATACAGAAAGCCTGTAGAAGTTTTATGACGTTCGCCAATCGCTCCTAATATATCATAGGACAAATTTTACAAGTACGTGCTTATGTAGAATTTGACGTCAAAGGACAATTACTTTCACAAAACAGGAACTAATTAATCATGAAGTATGCTGCGATTTAAGAACGTTCAATAAAAGAAAAACACACGTGTTTTTGTTGATGAAGTATTCTAGAAGAAAAATGCTCTACCAGATACTGGTAAATTAAAAATTCTTTTCAACAACGTCAATTTCAGTTCTTTTGCACATGATTTTCGATCGTACTAGTTACAAACTACGGTTATTTAGTAGAAGATATCGAACTTACACTTGTTATTGAATTACGTAAAATAGTTTGTCAAACAGTCAAACCGATGAATTACAAGTTTTAATACTTGATCTTAATCTTATACATCAGGCCCCACTTGTATAAAACATCTCAACTTGAGATTTCCTCAAGTCGAGATTTTCCTCAGCTGATATCTCCTTATAAACGGCTTGTATAAAATTTTCTCAAGGAACAGGAGGAAGTCATCGGCTAGGATGTCCTGAAATTCCTTGAGGAATTTTCATACAAGATATTTTCAAGGAGATATTAGCTGAGGAAAATCCCGACTTGAGGAAATCTCAAGTTGAGATGTTTTATACAATTGGGGCCAGGACTTTCTCAGTTCTCTCACGAAAGCATGTCGTTATAAAATAAAGTCGAGGATTGGTGTTTGCTAGCTTTTATTTGCAGGCTGTAAGTATTCCAGTCGTTATCTACTCCCTTTATGTAGCATTTTATGTTTGAAAGAAACAATATTAAAAATAATGTTGATGCCGTGATGATGATGATTAACGGAAATATATGTGTGTTATCCTTACTGTTTATGTATAATATGTGATTTATTTTCAAACTGAATTAAATAAATACAAAAATAAAGAATAATTCGGTCCAAATATCATTATTTATTATCACAAATGGTCATTCTATTTTAATCAAACAATAAAAAGTTATGATAAACGGTTTCTCTCCTTTATGTGTTCACAAATTTACATAGCTTGTTTTGACCGTTTGCAAACAAAACTTATTCTATAGATAATAATTTGGATAATTAAAAGACACGCATGCCAGTTAAATCCTGTCTCTTCCAGCACATTGTGGTGTTTAATAATCAGGCCCCTCTTGTATAAAACATCTCAACTTGAGATTTCCTCAATAATAATATTGTGATCTGATGTAATTACCGGAAGTTTTAATGTTGCATGTATAATTTTACGAAGTGTGTTGAATAAAATAGTACTTATACGAACTCTTAATACGCATCAAAATTTGCACACCATTATCACCTTTATATTATCTTATTTGACAAACTCATCTTTTCTGCTGTTTGGGATATTACATGTATTTGTATGCTGGTATAAGATTTACACAAAATTACGGTGATGTCCTCGTTGACCGGACCCAAAAGGTCAAAGTGACAGACATGGACAGATATGTATACATGCAGAAGACTTCTAAATGATTTACTTAAAGATATAAATGATACTGGTATGATAAACAATGATACCCCTGAGGCATGTATCGCCCAGTTGTTCCTTGTACATGTAGAAAACACTGAAAAACTGCATGCTGTATGCACCTGAACATACATTTAAAGTTAATGACCTGAAAAAATATGCAGTTTTATTTTAAGTAAGTTAAAATTCAGGCTTTGACGGAAACATAACTATCAAGACATGCCATTACTAAAGGTACTATAAAATATATGTAAAAATTATCTAACAGATAAGTCAGTCACTGATATTTAATGATATTTTATAGATTTAGTTATGAACTTATGGAACACAAAATCAGGAACATTAACTTGTTTGGAAAGATACTGAAAAAGATGTAAATATATATTACATGGGGTAATTTAACTGAAATCAATCACGCGAATTTAAGTGACTTTTGACCGTCCTTAGGTTGGGAATTCGTGCCAAGTCCCTGTGGTGCAAGCCAACACACTGCCGACTAAGTTATCGTGACCTTATGCAAAAAATATCGAAAACAACATAACACTTGATCCTACACGAGAAAAACAAATCAGCTTTATCAATTAACACTTGATCCTACACGAGAAAAACAAATCAGCTTTATCAATTATTCAAACTGTATAAAAACGTTCAGAATAAACCCTATTTAGCACGAGAGAAAATATATTGTTACAACAGAGGCCAGGCTGGTGGTCTCACTCTTTCACCATGAATAATTAATATTAGGCAAAGATTAACGTTATATGTCTCTACACAACA